GTAACAGAAACCCTGGTGAGCAGAGAAACTCAGTATAACCTCATAGAGAATGGAAGTAAACGCTGGGGTCCAACCACCCCATCTTCCAGCCAGGAAACAAGAGAAACATCTCCTTATGGCACAGAGGTAGGAAGAGGAGCCCAGCCGCCCCACCAACATGTGGACACCTACAACCTCACCATGGGGGTCCCCTGCAGCACTCACGGGCTCTAAGCCCATCTGAGGGAACAAACTGGAAGCCACACAGCTGTGCTCCTCCCAGAGAAGGAGCTGGTACTGTGCCCTGTCCCCAGTGCCCACACAGCTACTATGCTATACCAACTCAGAACTGGAGCTACCGCTGGAGGGTGCCTTGGTTTGGGTGAAGGCCAAAGGGTTTACCCCTTCATCCTAAGGCTAAACCACTGTCAAGCCACCCTTGCACAGTGGTCTTACACTCCCAAGCTAAGCTGTGAGCAACTGTTCCACCCTTTCCTGTGGGGGATCAGCAGAGGTGTAGCGCACCACGTACCTGTCAATGGCGGCCTGCACCGGGTCCCAGGAGACAGTCGCTGTATTCTCTGTCACCCAGTCAGTTACCAAGTTTTGCGGGCTATCGATGTCTGAAAGGACAGTGCTGATCAATAAACAATATTATAATACTAGGTACCAAACAGTGAGATCAATCCTATAGCCATCTTGCTTGCATTGAAGCAGTTTCCTATTCTGATGGTTTCCCATAACTTGCTGGTTTTCAGTTAGCTGTTTCACAGACAAACAGCTTCCCTTCCCCAGATATACTGAGCTCCTCAAGGAGAAACCACAATGTACCAGAATCTGAAAACCTGACCTATTACCCCTCCTGAGAGTTTAACAAAAGAAATCTCTTTACTCACTTAGTGGGGGCCTAATGAACACCTGTTTTATGCAGCCATGTTCTAGACAGCGTGCAGGATTCAGAGTTGAAGAAGGTGCCGTCTCTGCTCACAAAGATCAAATAATTTTGTGTCTAGCATCATGTCAAATAAAGACCTCCCATTTTGTACTGGAAGATTCTAAAAGCCAGATCCAAATGTAAGCTCCTAAAGGAAGAGGCTGCATCCTGGTATTCCCAGTGGAAGATAGGACACGTGGAAAATGCTCTCTACACATCATTAAGTGATTCAGCAAAAAATAAAACTTATTTAAATATTCTTCAAAATATCATAGATTCACTTGTCATGCTGTTTGCTGGCTAAATCAGTGCATAAAATATTGTCATATATCTCTTTCACAATACTAAGACTAGAACACAGGAGTTATGTGTATCACCCCAGAACTCTGGCCCATGTACACTGTACCATTCCCCAGAAAGGAATGCGTGCCTTGTTTGAACAACGGTTATTTGGGTGTTTCTGTCAACATGTACCCTGTTACTATTCACTCATCCCATCTATGAGAGATCACTACCCCATTATTCTCTATACCTATACCATATTCTTCTTCTCCTTCAGAGAACTTATTATAATTTACAGTCAAATTTTATACTTACAATATGGTTCATTTGTAGTAAAGCAAACCACATACATCTCCTTGCTATGGCAGAGGTGAATTCTACATTCTTAGGGATGAAGACCATGTAAAGGAGGGCAACTCCCTGGGGATAATCCAGCAACAATATGGAATGAGCCAGTGTCTCCTGGACTAGGAAACTACCATAGCAGCACTGATCCACATACACTCTGCCGTTCCACTGAGACGAATGCTCTCCTTTGGTGTTTAAGCAACTACTCTTGAGTCTTTCTTACTCACTCATCCCATCTATGA